CTAACGCTTCCTATAGTAGCAACCTCGAGCTTTGTCCCCAATTTTGATAGAAAGTTGCCGGGCCCTGGTTGCCGCTTTCTGCCCCCAGCCGCCGCGCCGCCCCGCACAGATGACTTGCCCCTCAGTGTGGATTTGGCACGAGATTCCATCCGCGCACCTTTCTTTGAGCAATCGTTTTGGCGGATGCGAATGTAGTGCGAGGTTTCGTTATTTTTGAATCCGTGACTATTATGTCAAGCCTGTAGCTCGTTCATTGCAAAATATTACATGGGTGCGAACGTTTGTGGTTGTCAGGTTCTCTCAACGACGGTCGTTGCATATGTATTCTTAATTCAGTAGAAATTAGTAGAGAAGTGAGGGTAAGGAGTCCGGGGCTCAAGAAAACTTTGCACGTGTAATATCTGTGCACTCGGCAACCGTTAAAAGTGCGTGCGAGACACACGCACTTTGCGAGACACACGCACACCATTGCGCAAGCGCAATAGAGCCATTCACACATTAAATCACTGTACATAAAACAAAAGAAGAAAAGAAAACAAATCATCTAGAAGTAGTACCTATGTTAGTAATAGTTTCACTTGGATTACTGTATCCTTTCTTACTGAAAATACAAATGTATTTGTTCAATGCCGATATTCAGCGAAGGTATCTCTCTCTTCTATGACGTCAGTCGAGTTCACAGGTACCCGGCGCGAACTCTCCAGTAGAGCTACTCAAAAGTAAGAATTGCAGCAGACTGTTCACTGTGGCCCGTTGTAGTGGTCGGCGTGCCATATGCCCTTCATTAGAGCCGATCGCGCCCGAGCGCCTCCCTCATCTCTCGTGTCCCGTTGAGCAGATTCAACACACAGGTGATGCAACAAACTACACCATCGTACCAGTAGCCTGCAGATCAGCGGTGTTCACTCGGGCGGTCCTGGTGTAGAGCACTTACTTCGTATTCTGGCTGCAGGTCGAAAACTGGATTCTCAGGAACGACGCGAGGCGTAATGTGGCAACATCATTCACAATGGCGCTTTCGCATGTCCTTCGAGGTCCTGACACGGAGGTTCCACTTAGATTCTGAGCTTCCTTTACTCATGTTTTTTGTTTCATCTTAACAGTTTTCAACTTCTCCCAATATTCTCTATCATTTTCGGTCATTATCACCTAGTTTCGTTTGTTCTTAAATTCTCGTATGTTTGTTTTCTGTTGCGCGTTTCAAAACGTTTATAAATATTGTACATATTTACATTGATGTTTATATTGATTTTCTGTTTTTTTGTAGGTGGGTTGCTGAACATACCAACAACCTCAAAGATCACTTTTGTCACTCCCTTCATAAGGTCAATGGTAAGTTCTCAGTTTGATTTAACACTAGTGCTATGACCCGGCGAACGCAAAGGACCATCACTGCATTTGATCAAAGGATCAAGGGAAACGGGACGAAAAACTAAGTAAAGATGTGGACACATTTTCACAGCGTGAATAAGCCACAAAAACAAAATATGTTAAATTTATTGATATTTGTGAATTCTAACAAGCTGCGAATTTTTATGTATAACAGTCTATCAACCTCTGAATTTTGATGCATACATATCACTGTGATGAAATATACATTTCTGTGTGTCGTGAACAGTTAAGGTACAAGATATTCAAAATGCATTGAAACATAATATTTATTTCATCTTGACGTTTATTCCGAGTGCTTATTGATTTACGTCATTACTCGAGTCTTACTAGAGACGTCTATTCGACTCTGTGCGATCAGACAAGTTTCTTATTCTCCAGACTCCAATTCATAGGAAAATATTCTACGTCCTCACCAAGCTTCTTCCGACACTTGCGACGATTTACTTTACAATTATCATTCATTCCTGTCACATCATATCTTTGCAGGTGAAGGGCAATTTACCCTGAAAAAGCTTTGATGTGCGTGGAGATAAGGCCATTTTATGCTGCACACTTCTTGTAATATGCGAAGTGCATTATACGCCACTATACGTGTCAGCATGAAATGTTAAGTGCCGTGGGGAAGGGGAAGTTGACATCAGTTATCAGCACCGACTGGAAGCACGTGTTGAATATGCACACATAAACATGCCATCTACTCTTGACCCGATTCATTACAAAGAAATGTCACGTGTATTGTTCTTGATAACACTTTTACATTAGCCGATTAATCATGACATATTTCTCTGACTTGAAATGTTTTTACTTGGAGGTAGCAGAGTGAGGAAGATATAAAAGCAATATTTACATAGTTAACATTTACATTTGTAACTATTCAGTTAGTAATATGATTTTACTTTTAAACTTTTATCTTTTCATACATCTTACCTTTCCCATCCGCCGCCAACTAAAAAATCAAGCAAATTACAGCATTGCAATCGATCAATCATGTCTTCTTTGTTCGAGTTCATTACAGCACCAATATAAGAAAGAAGACCTTCTGTCCTTATAATACTCTACTAGAATAATTATTTACTTAGAACTTACTGTAAAGTGCAGAAACAATCTCTACATATTGTTCTTGCGGATTTTTACTTGTTTTTTATTATTAAAATAATTTGATAACATATTTTGTTATCGTTTCTGCGCTAGTAACGTGATTAATGATTATCAGAGAATATCATAATGATATCATTGAAAATGCTAGTTTAGTGAATGCGGAATACATTCTCAATATTAAGAAAGGAATTCTAGGAACGGTTCATTAAAATGTATTATACAAAAATTAATTTCTCAACATTTATAAGAAATGTCTTTCAATCTTCAAGTAAACAATCTGTACAACGTGGAGCTAAATCCAGCCCAGAGCCTTCTTGCAAGGTGACGTATTTGGTGGTGCATCGCTGGCTGGCGGTCGCTCGGGGCTCCGTCGGCTGCCGGGGGAGGGCGAGGACGCGGGTGGCGAGGGGGTGGGGGCGGATCGGGACGGCCCCTCTCAGGTGCCCGAAAACGCGACCCCGCGCGCCTGAATGGGCAGACAGATGCAGCCAGCCTGCCAATTTGTGCGCGGCCGGCGGGCAGCCGCCGACTCCTCCGCCCCCGGGGAACCTCGATCGGGCGCGAGAGCGCCCGCCCGCCCCGCCCCCGCAGGGCGGCGGTGTTGCAAAGAGAGAGAGAGTCAGATACACGACCCGATAGATAGCTCGCACGTCCGCTCACACGCGCAGCCACCCGTTCAATCGCCCCTGGCCTCAACGAACTACCCGCCTAACCACCCGATCTACCACCCGTAAAGGCACACGCTCAACCACCCAATCTACAACACACCCAACCGCACGTCCAAACTTCCACCCTACCACCCGCTTATCCACCCTTACCAACCATCCGCCCAGCCACCCATCTAACGACACGATCAATCCCCTGACTAATCCCCTGACCAAAACCGCGACCAATCATCTGACCAATCACTCGACCGATCACTCAACTCACCAGCCTAACAACATGCCCAACCCCCCGACCAATCAACCCAGCCAGAATGCCGTATGGAGGAACGGCGGATTGCATTAAGCTAAATTTTCTAAACAAAAAAGCAACTAATTTTGGAGAAATTCTTTGAATCCCAATTCTCCAATTTCTTTGAATCCCAAGTCTCCTGTTTTTCCTCTGTCGTTCAAAAACTATCGGGGAAAAGATTGACAGCAATTGCGTGAATACTTCAAAGGTTTTTTTAATGAAATGTATGTACAAAAGTCCCTTTTTGTACCAGGGATTTTATAATAGCTAGTAATAAGTTGTAAAATGTCTACAATATTTTTTACCGCGTATCGCATATGTGTTTTCTCGGACTTGTTAAAGTAATTGATAAAGTCGTTGCTTCTAAATTCTTTCACGTCTTATGGTAGTTATTTATGGAAATATCATTCAGGAGCTCAGTGACGGGGACAGCAACGACCATCTCGTCCAAATCGGATTTTTCAGGTGATCGTTTGATAGGATACTGCGCGCGGTTTCTCTCGCCGCTGAGCTGACAGGTGGGGATGTCCGAGGCATTCGGCCCTTTCGATAAACATTGATAGACCGTCAGGAAATCTCCACGCGCTTTCGTCAGTGATTGCATCGCCCAGACGATGTAAATGTGAAAGTAGTCATGTTGAATGTCTTGCGAGAAACGGTTTTTTTAAAAAGCTCTTCCTTGTAACAGCCTTTTTTTATGTCAGGTTCTTGTGCATCTTTCCGTCTTCTTTCTTGTTCACGATCGTGTCTGTATCTGCCAGGCTACAACGCAACATGTATAGTGTCGGTAAGGAACATGATAAATGAACACGGTATTTGGACATTGTCCTATTTGAAGGAATTCAAAGTACAACACGTGAAAACATAACTTGTCACGAAAAATGACAGCTTATTTTTGTCTCTGAAAAATAGTTCATTGCTATTACTTGTCTACAACAAAAGTACATGTTTAAATTATAAAATATATTTTCTACTAATTCATAAATAATGAAGATTTTGTGTATTTCCAATCATTATTTTTTCCATAATTGTTTCTTTTTAGTTTTATTTTAATGTAGAGATAGTGTTGCAACACATTAATATGAATTACTCTGAAATGCTTCCCTGCGTTGATGACAGTTTTCATAATTGTACTACATTTATTTCTTCAAAAAATTGCATCCTGGAACAAAATGTATTCTTTTATTAGCTCCTAAGATTCAGTATTACAACACGTCACTAAAGTTAGTACTTTTTGTAAGTAGCGCTGAGCCAAGTCTTGATTATCGTTCCTTCATAATTAATATTGTTTTATGGTACTTTAGTTTTAATGTTAACATTATCATTTGATAGAGAACTTCACCACCCCATGACTTTTAACGTTTAAATGAAACACAAAACGAGTGACTTTGTTTTTATTCGAAATCAGCTCAAATACAAATTTGTATTTCAGCCATTTCTTCGCCTGTCCATCACTCTTGAATCTTCATTTCCCGCGTATTCTTCGTAGTATGATCGCTGATTTTATTCCTCGAATCGGCGAGAACGAATCTATCCCCTTCGTCACGTCGCTTGGCGTGGCCGTAAGGCATCTGATACGAAATGCACTTGAGAGCCTTCTAGGCGATAAGGAATGCGGCGCCTTGATTTGTTTGCCTGTGGACAACATAGGAATGGGCGGGACCAGCCAAGGCAGGGTTAGGGGAAGCGGAAGTGATGTCGGCACGAACGAAGAAACGAGGAACGAATCGGGCCTAAACATAAGTTATTAAGAAGATTTAGCGCAGTGTATTATAAACCGATATGGCGAATGTTAGAGACATCATGTGACCTGTCTCATTTGAAGTCTTAAAAAAGTTTGACAGAACATTTTCACTCTAAAACTACATTAACGGGAGTAGTTTCAAACTGTGCCGGCAGAGTGTTCTGCTAATGCTAAATTGACATTATTATTTTAAGTGTAGGTCGTTATTTACTTGTTTTTAATATTTTTTCCTATTATTAACATAGCATTGTGTAATAAAACTGTCAATAAATAATACGAGACCAAAAACTTTTATGAATAATAAATTCACATTACTTCTCCACTTATGTCTCCACCTCGACCGCTGCCTCTCTCTTCCATCTCTTCTTCCTCGTCTAATCTCTCGTCCACCGCCTCCTCTTCCTCCACCGCCGCCCAGCCGTGTCTCCGCCGTGTGCTTCCCGTCGCGGAGACGTAGTGCATGAAGCCATGAGTCTGGACGCTTGAGCTGTTTGTCTTAGCAGCCTCTGAGGAAAGAAACAGAATACACACACTCACCCCGCTGTTTCCTGAAACCGAATAATCTTCTGCATACTCTTAGTGCCTCTTGGTCTCAGGATCTATTTACACGATTTTCAATTCTGAAGCAAATAGTACGTGCATTCTAATGAAGCTGTTAGGCATCTTATGATATGGAATGAAGAAATAATTGATGTATTGGCCTGTGCAATTGGAATGGTTATTTAACTATTGGAACACCTGCCAGTGATATTCAAGGATTTTATCCGTGACGAGCAATCAGGCCTGCTTTACCCATCCTAATTTATCCCTTTTGCGTTATCACTGCGACGTGCGTTTGTGTTGAGTAACACACGTTGAGTTCCCGTCGTTATTACGACGTGCATTTGTTTTTAGTTCAACAATGCTGAAAGTTAGTTTTCTTTAAGAAGTAGCATTATTGTCTAGTTGATACAAGAATTTATAATTAACTGTTTACTATTTGTATTCATTCCTGTGGAACAATCGTCTAAACACCATTCGTGCTTTGGGAACTCCTAGTAACTTCTAAGTGATAACACGCGGAACAAGTAAACCAAAATAGTGTAGACAATGTTCAGGGAGAAACGGTTCATGGATGCTTTCTTTCTAAAATTACTAATTACTTGTATGCAATGAAGAATGAATATGATAATAAACGTGGTTTCCTAATAGGTAAAATCGAAAACCGCAATTGTCAACACAACGCGATAACCCAAGGTATTGGGTACTCCTCACGAAAAGTTTTCAATTTTTTTTGTCCTGATCATTATCACCATCAATGTTTGCATGTGTTTATATTCGTTTACAGATTCTTAAAATACGTTTACGTGAAACATCCACTTATGTTGATAGCAAAGGATAATTGCAGCAGTGTAAAATGCAATATTTCGAAATTATGACATCCAGAACCTATCTATCCAAATAAGCGGGTTACATTGCCTAGGGTAGATACTGAAAGGTCTCGTTGCAGTCCTGATACCCGTATCTCGTTAGGGAAACGTGTCTGCATTTTAATGCGTCTTAGCAGATATAGGGAATTTACATGCAGACAGTAGTAGTTGGCCAAGGGCTCATGTATATTTTGTGGTCATCGCACTTCCCGTCCTTGACTTTACAACACTTGTGAATGATTACCCAATGTTTTTGAAACCTTTTCTCACTATGTTGTCCATTTTAGTGTCACTTGGTTTTTGGAAACAGAAA